TAACAGTACTGAAGGGCAGAAGTGAAAAATAAGTCGTGCAAAAAAATAATTCTCTGCACTTCAGTCCGTAGGGAGTTCAATCAGTACAATGTGCATATGACAATATTGTACACGTTGTGAGGCCATGATCAACAATTTGGCAGCTTGAGAGAAGAATTTTACTTTTATTTTTTTAAGTCTTGTGGTGTGTGCATGTATTGATCACCCAGCAAAAGCGAGTACTCTGAGGAGGTGGTGGGAAAGATGGGTTAGCTCACCGATTGTGTTTGTGTCCAACATCACACCGGGTCATTAATCACCGGCGACTGTGTCCCAACGATGTCTTGGGGCGTCTTGATGACCCTCTACAGAGCTCACTGGTCCTTCCGGTGCAGCTGGCATACCACTCTGTGATGCAGTTGGTCAGGATATTCCTCACCGTGCACCAGTAAAGGTTTCGCGGCAGTCTGCCTCTCTTTAGCTTCCTGATAAAGTTGAGGCATTGTTGTGCCTTCCTGCTGACAGTGGAGGGGTGTGTGGCCCAGGAGAGTCCTCAGTGATGTGCAACCCCCAGGAGTTTAAAACTGGAGACACTCTCCACTGCCTCGCTGTCAATAGACAGCGGGCTATGATCTATTTTCTTTGTTTTTCTAAAGTCCATCACACTGTCTTTAGTCTTGTTTTTGTTAAGAATGAGATTGCTGGCAGAACACCAGGCTCTCAGGTTAGGCACCTTCTTCTTCTTCTATGCTGACTCTATACTGTTAGAGATTAGGCCCATGACTGTTTTGTCGCCTGAGAGCTTGATGATGGTGTTTGTTATGCGGACAGGAAACGGGGGCCTACAGGAGATAGCTCAGCACACATCCTTGGGGAAAACCAGCATTCACGGTGAGAGTGGAAGTTGCTTTTCTGACAGTCTGGGGACGGTTTGTGAGAAAATCCAGCTGCAGATGGTTTTGTTTAGGCTGTGGAGCTTGGACGTGATTCGGCTGAGGATGACAGTGTTGAAGGCCAGTTGACTTGGACCAAAATCAGCCACTTTAAACATGTGGCTACTGACGGGATAAGGTCTACGAGGCGACAGTCATTCAGACAGCTTACAATTTTGTGCTTGGGGAAGGGCAATGTTGGTCATTGATTTGAAGCACATCAAGATAACGGCATAGGTCAGGGAATGGTTGAAAAAGTTGGTGAAGACCTCTGTTGAGAGGTTGCTCATAGCATATGCCCTGGGACACTGTTAGGTTCAGCTACTTGCCCTGGCACTGTGCTGGTCCTCATATTAATACCACTTGTGGACTCATTCATACCGGACTGTTGGAAACTAGCCATTCACAGAAGTCGTGGTGCAATAGCAGTACTGTATTTGTCACTCTGCGCCACATCCTGTATCAGTATAGTTGGATGTTTTGTTCTACTCTGTGGAATGAACAAACAGTCAACAATGTCAAGCAACTCCTGTCGGTTCATTAGGATTCATGTTAATTTGGAGTCATGTTAAACATATATCGAAGACCTAATTCAAGCAAAAATCGACCTGCGTGACCCACGTCTTACCCTGGTTGAGTGGAGGGTCACAGCAGTCTGAGACAGTCATCCATTGTGTATTTTTCTTGAATACGTCAGCAAACTTCCCATGCTGCTCACAGAGAAACCACGAAACACAAAAACTACTCTTTGTGTAAGTCATGTATTGCACACCCCTCCTCCCTGCATCTTTTCTGTAAATTTCTGAATTGTGACATTCCTACAAATGCGTCAGGCCACAGTGACTCTGAGAGACACATGCGTGACGTGCATCAGGATGCAACAAGTTTTTGCTCTGCTGCACATAGTAAAGCACAATCTCCATATTGACATACTGTCCAAATCATAGAAATCTCCTGCTGGCTATGCATACAGTATGTTATGAACTTATTTGCATACAGATTTACAGTGACCAGGGAGAGTAAAATAAATCATTCTGTAAATAACTTTTTCTTCCCGCATGGAATGGACTTGAAAACTATTTTCATCCATTAAATCTCCGATAATAGTCTGCCCGGTGAAAGTCTGTCCCCAAGGGCTGAGCTATGGAAAGGACCAGAGTGTCCTCCCACATGTTTCCAATGGAAATCAGTCAGAATGTTCTCCTCGGGAACATCAGACAAACCTTGTAGTCCAGCAAAGCTTGTGTGAATGGAAACCTTTTGCACATCGGTGTTTTCTGCCTCCATCACAAAGTGAACAAAAGAATGTGTCTGTTAAAGATTACATGAAAACTGACTGATTTGTTGGTATTGGCTTGACAAGGCAAACCCTCCTGTTATCGCTTAACATCGTAGAGTGTAAACATGTTGTGTGGATGGAAAGCCAGAGCGGAAAGCAGTGAATTTGCCTGTGTCTTTGCGTCTACTCTTTGACAACCAAATCTGATGGGTCTCTGTCAAAACATTTGCTCATGTAAAACCACCAGCTTCAGGAAAACGTGTTTTTTATTCACACATCTGCTTATTAGTCTGCAGATTTTATATATTCATCACCGATCAAGACTGTCACAGAAACATTTCAATGTTTGAGGAAAAGAAGCACAAAAGTGTCGTGTCAGTGTATTACTTCACTCTTTAACTGTTGCTTATTGTAATTTATTGTCATAGATATTTGAATTCAGCAAAATGAAGCTAGGGAAGAGGGGTTTGGTCTGTATGAACACATAGGTATAAAACATACTAATACATTTAAAAACAAAATTATTCATACTCACACCAGATTTAGGTTCATCGTGGCTTTTTATTTGCCCAATAGTTCATTTCCAGCCAGAAGAGACAGACTGGTCAAATAATAATTCCCTATAAATCCAAAAAAAAAATGAAAAATGTTGTTCTTAACTGCACCCTCACACACATCCCTGGTGTTATCTGCTCCACAGCAGGTTGCCAGTCTGTCACTGCTCCCTTCATTTAGCACCAGTGGACTCCTACATTCACACAAGTATGCCACCATATACACACCCACACACCCACAAATGTACACAAACAGAACCACAAATTCAGCTTTGGCCAAAGAAAAGGACTATATCAGCCATTTATCCAGCTTTCTAGGGGTCAAAACTTAGGATAAAGATAAGCCCCACGGTGTGCCTTTCTGTAAATACCATTTTCTTTCCGGATTTTTTTTTCCCCTTCAAAATTGCTTAGTTGCTTTTGAAGTCTTTAACATTCAGGTATGGCCTCAGGTAAATGAGCAGTGGGCTCCATTCTGATGTGAAATAAGCTTTAGCCCGAGTATTAAGTTAAACCCTCTGTGTCCTGCTGTGGGGAAACAGACTCCGATCTGCATGCTGCACCCATTCAAGTGAATGTGTATTTGCTGACCGGAGGTAATTGATATTTATAGGACACATAATGGTGTGAATTTAATTAGCAAAACAATAACTTTGTTATTCATGAGGAGAAGCCGGGATCGTTTTCTGCTCCGGAGTAAAATGCGCACATGTCAAGGACCTCACTGTCATTTCAAGAGGAAGAGGGAAGAAGAGCTAACGGTCCTGGCAGGAGAAACCACAGCAGAGCTTATTACTGCTACGGGCTGCTTACTTACACGCTCTTCATTTTTCATTATTTGTTTTGATACAGTCCACTCATTCACGTATATAACGGCGAATGTTTGACTACGAGAGAGCAGATCAGGTGGATGTATGTGATGCACATGCTGCAGGGAGGCTGAAGTGTTTTGTTATTGTGTTTGTTGGTAACATGCAGCATTCTCCACCTCCCATCAATCCACTGACCCCCTTCTCTCCCTCGCTCTCTCTCTCTCTCTTTACTAAATCGCATCAAGTCACACAGACATGCAGGCAAAGAGACAGGAAATCAAGATATTTAGATTTGAAAATAAAACACTAAAAGCTTCACATTTGCTTTCTTCCAGCATCTCCAACACTTGAGACTGAAAGACTGAGAATGCTGGAGAGAAAAGGGAAGAAAAGGTTAATATTAATTATAAAAAAAAAAAATACTTTGGGGTGTGAAATAAGTGGGCTTTGTGTATCAGTGGGTTAAATGACTCAGTGTTAATGTAGTTATGTGACAGGGTGGTGTTGTTACATGTCAGTATTTAGACTTAAACGATGACTTGGCTTCCTTCTTATCTAATGTATCTAAGTAAGAACAATATTAAAAGAGGAAATAATGACATTTATTTGAAATCATTCGCCTAAAGTGTGAAAGAAAAAGGGGCTGATTTCACAACTTTCACAACTAAAAATTGCAAAACACTCTTCTGTTAAATAGTTTCCTGGAACTGCAAATTAGATTTTTTTTTTGCATCTTTTGAGAGGTTTTCATCTAAATATGAGTTCACTGTGTTCTTCAGTGTCCTTTGCAGCTTGTAGGTTGAACATCTTTACAAATGATCTGATATATTATGTACTCAAGATGATCACAGTATAAATAATGTTACCATAATCACGCCTTAAGAACAAAACAAGTGCATTTCTTTTGTTTTATTTGCTTATTTTCATTTTTTTTAAATTATTTGTATTAATGTGAAAGACTTTAACTGTATTCGAAAGGTGCTACACAAATAAAGTTATTATAATTCAGTTGATATTTAAAGTGATGTAGTACCTTAGTAACAGGTGTATTACTAAGAACAGCAATGCAACAAACAGTGTAAAGTGAGTGTAAATAATCAAATCATAGATCAATAATCAAATAATGTAATTAATCAAATCTCAGGAAAAAAATCTATGATTGTTTTTTGTTGTTTTGTTGGAAAGAGATTTGTTTAGTAGGATGCTATAAACTTGTATTTTTCTGTTTGTGTTATATTTTGCAGGGTGAGATCGGAACTCCTGCATGAGATGCTGTGTGGTTTGACTGTGTGTGTGTGTGTTCGGTGTGTGTGTGTGTGTGTTTAGTGTGTGTGTGTGTGTGTGTGTTCAGTGTGTGTGTGTGTGTGTGTCGGCTGCCTGCTGCTGCTGCCGCTGCTGCTGCTCGGTGTCCGCTCACCGTCCGTCTCGTCAGTGTTGATCGGCTCGCCATGGCGGAAGGACGCAGAGAACAGCCGCCTCATCCTCTCCTCTCCTTACCACCGGCTAGCAAGCGACCCTGCCTTCGCCCCGCTCCCCGAGGTCCCGGTCCGGGGCCCGGCCACGGCAGCGGGTTGCCCGGCTCCCGGTACCGCTCCCCGGAGTCCCTCCTGGACTGCGCCGCGAAGGCAGTAGCGGAAAAGTGGGCCTTCGAGAGAGTGGAGGAGCGCTTCGAGCGGATCCCGGAGCCCGTCCAGCGCCGCATCGTCTACTGGTCTTTTCCCCGCAACGAAAAGGAGATATGCATGTACTCTTCGTTTCAGTGCCGCGTCGCCGGCGAGGAGGGTCCGTCCGCGGCCACCGCCGGGTCTGGGGGAGCCGGGTCCGGAGCTGCCACCGCCGGTGGTGGCGGAGGATCTACCGCCGGTACAGCGGCTACCGTGGGGGCAGCCGGAGCAGTGGGAACGGGAGACGGGCTGCCGTTCCGCCGGGGTATCAGGCTGCTGGAGACCGGCTGTGTGGAAAACGTTTTACAAGTCGGTAAGTGGAACATTTGTGTCTGAGTGAATGTTTTGCGGCTCTCACACGCACCGAGGACCGCTGGCGAGTCTCCGCCGCCGCTGCTGGATCTCTACCGGGGATGATTGATGGAAGTTTTCCCTGCCACCGCGGAAAGTATGCAAAGCGTCTCCTTTCGGTGCATTTAAACCCGCACTCGATTCTGCGTCTTTTTTCACTTTGGCAGACTTAACGTGGGACATTTATGGTGTGTTTTTTAGAGTTTATTTCGGCCTGTGTGAAAGGGGAAGCGGAGCCGCGGCTGCTTGCTAGCGTTAGCCGACCAGCTGCTGTTTAAAAATTAAAGGGCTTCCTATTGTGGCTTTTCATTACTCCGTAGCTCTACCGCGGGGCTACTGCGCCTTTTTGCCCCGCTTTGCCTTTACGGTAACTCGTTTTCTCGCCCCGTGAGCCGCGTCTGGGCAACTATCCGCACTTTTGACGCTCCTCTCCGGGGCTCGACGGTGCTGGAGGTGGCCGGAGCCCCGGCGGTGAGGCAGGGGAGGAGGAGGAGGAGGAGGAGGGGGGGAGACGCGGAGGAGGAGGAGGAGGAGGAAGGCTGACAGACGCGGATACAAAAGGAGCCAACGTATAGCGTCGGGGCTTTATTTTTGTTTGTGGCGAATTCCCCGTTGCACAAGCCGTTTTTTCTCAACTCAACATCGGTTGAGGGTGGCTTAGGCGAGGAACAAAGGCGGTTATTGGGTCTCTTACTATGATTAATCCAACGTTAATCCGAAAAAAATCCCCCCACAGCTTTTTGTTTATTTGCTGCTGCTGCTGCTCGGACCGGACAAAGAGCGCAGTCGCCACCAGCGTGGAAAATACACGTTGTTAGGAGTATTTGTGTTGCTTTCCACGATTAAAGTTAACCCATTAATAGCTGCTGTGGAAGAAGAAGAAAAAAAAACAAACACCTGAAATTTCCCTTCACTTGCGCGTTCGCCCGCAGCCTCTCGCAAACACAAAAGGTTTCCAGTTGAAATGATCGATAAGCGTCTCGCATTTCCAGCGCTGCAGAGAGGCTGTTTCCAAACAAAGGGCCATTCCGCAAAGCTCCATCCCCACTCTCAGCCTCTCTCCCTCCCGGCTCTGCACGGCCACAAAACGAGCCCAGACATTAGGGGGAATTGATGGGATGAAACCGATGCATAGTCAAAAGAATGAAAGAAAGAGAAGCAGTCTTTTTATGGTTACCGGGAGGATTTTTCTCAGGCCATATGGTGTGAGAGCTACTGGAGCTTGTCTGGGGTTTCATGTTGCTCCAAGGTATCAAGGGGGGAGAAAAAAAAAAAAAAAAAAGCTGCAAACTGTGGCTGCTTGCTTTGCTCAGTGACTGCTGCTTGTAATTGCATTTTGCAAATGCTCATTGATTGCTCGCCATAACTGAATTAAATCTGAGATTTATGAAAATGAGATTTAGCTCTCAGAGAGATGTGGCTTTTGATAAGTTTCGCATGTCTGTCCGAGAGAGTCGAATCAGGAAAAAGTTGTGAAAGTCTGGATTTTGAACGCCCCGGGGGTTTAAATTGTGCAAGGACTGTTTGAAAGTCGTAATCGGAGTTGAAGGTGCCCGAGCAAGTTGTCGGCGATGACTTTCTGTTGGATCTTTGAGCGGTGCAGTCTCACATTTGTACCAACGTAAGGCCCGGTGTGTGTTCAGTGATTCCAGAGGCTGCGTCCCACTGGGTGCAAGACTTCAGTTGAAAATTCAAAAACAAAACAAAGCATACACCCGTGGGCAAACACTTCCAGTCCTACCTGCCTCACCGGCGATACGTTTCCAATCTCCCTCAAGGTCAATCCTCGCAGGCTGCCGCATGGTTTTGTCTTTCTGTCAACAAAACACTAGATGGGCTAAATAGCTGTGTGACATCAAGATAAGACTTGGCTTGCTCTTCGCTTTGTGAGCCATGGGAACCGGTTGCTGTGGAAGGTTTGCTAAGTGACTTAACAGGGGAACAATTGTTTTGTTTTTATTTTTTTTCCACGTCTGGATTTTGATAGGTTGGGCGACCGTGCACGCTCACTGCACTCATTTAGGATTGTGTTACGCTGCTGTGAACGACAGTCTTAAGGCTGCTTTCGCCTGACGTTGCATAATATAATTTATAATAGTGGCGGCGCTCGCTTTGTAGGGTAGCGAGGTGGACAAGTCTCTGGTATGCTCTGTTACAGGAACTTTGCAGGGGAACGAGACCGGGCTGCGTGCTGACACATGCATGCTGATGATGCATGGTTTGAAATATGGTATCTCGGGGTATTGCGCTCTGGAAGACTTGCGTTCAACTTTTGAACCGCATGCATGTGAATGGTTGGGAGGGGGGCTTCAAGCTGCGTCTGTGGGTTATATCCATATTCATTTAGTGCTCAAAGTCAAGACAGAGCCATCATCCGTCTGCATCAGTGTCAAGTGACGCTGTGCTGCCTTTGACTTTTACCAATTTGGGGCAAATCTTCTATGAGAACTTCTTTTGCATTCTTTCAGTGGGAAAAAAAAAACCAGAGAAGCCGAAAATACAGATGTGATGAGCCCACAAGCCACGCTTTCATGAGATCTAATATTATTTTTTGTTATTCCTCACAGCTATCACAAGCGCAGCAGGAATTCGTGTTCCTATAAACTCATGCTCATCTTTTGACTTGTTTTTGTCCCGAGTTTCTCAGAATCGGTGCGCCTAGAGCAAGATTTGGAGTCTGTCTTGTTTTATCAGGTAATTTTGGGATCTGGTGCTGTGGAATCCAGACTGGACCGTAGTTGTTTCTGTGCTGGCTCGCCTCTAGCTGCTGCTCTTTATTGCCTTTAAAGTTTGCACAATCTAACCAACCCCCCCCTCAAGCCAGCTGAGTAATACTATAATAAAAGAGAGAGAGTCATTTCGGTTTAAACCCATCATCTCTGTCATTTAAAGCCTCCGCGTATGCGTCGACAATTAAGAAATGAGTTGACTGCTGTGTCCCTTAGGTGCCCTCTACCCTTTGTGCATTAAAGGCCTTTGTACGTCAGCCTCTTTTAACCGTAACGCCGAAGGATTGAAGCGACGTGAGCTCATCAACAACTCATCGTCCATGTGTTCATAATAATCTATTCCTCGCTCCGAGTCATAATTAGAATAATCAAAGCAAAGCGTGCTTGTTTTTGTAACCCCCCCTCCCTTCGCCTTACACACTGCACATACGCACACATGCTCGCCCAGAAGCCCCCTTTTTGCCGGAGCCTTTATGAAGTCCTCAGAGAGCGGGAGGAAGGGATATAAGTGGAGGGAGGGAATGGAGGGGGTTTCTTTAGCTTTGAGTCAAGCTTTGGGATTATTGGGTCATGCTTTGTTACCCAGCTGTAGAAAAACCCCTTGTTCACAGAAAGAAGAGGGGGGGTTGTATATGTGTGTGTGCATGTCACTGTCTCTGCGACGTTACATAAAGCTGTAATGGGTCGCTGGCGCCGTTTGAAGCAGCGGTGACTCCGACAGAGCCCGGCACGAAAGTTGAACGGGATTAAAGTGTACGGGACAGTGAGGACGCGAAACTCCAGAAAAGTCTTAAAAATGGTGCTCAAGTTCTGAAAAGTACCAAAAGTTAGAGTTCCCTCAGGCTAAGTTTGTCCGTTTCTGTTTAGCCAATGAAAAGTTTTTGGGACATCGATGAATTCCAGCAACGTCCGTAAGCTTCCATGCCTGATTTTTCTTGTAAATAACCAAGAAACAAGAGTCAAATGGAAAGGCCCAATCAAATCATTTGATTAATGTCCAGTAGGGACGCAACTAAATATAGTTTCGATATCAAATAATCAATCAATTATTCTGTTGTGCTGAACTCCGCCACGAAACACGGAAAAGAGCATCAGTTTGGATCAGTTTCTGTGTCTCCCATCACTTACAAATGTTTCAGTTGTGCTATTCCTATGGAGATCCCTGTTATCGCTGTATTTACTCAGTGTTGGTTCATGATTTTTCACAGCATGTGTGTGTGTGTGTGTGTGTGTGGAGGATGGTTGGTCTTGCCAGTATTTCCTCAGATGTAATTTCCTGGCAGAATGGCCGCGGGGTTCCTTGTTGTGGAAAAGCTTGCGAGCCTCTGGTGTAAATCCGCTCTTTGGTTTCTCAAGAGCACGTTGCGATAAAAGACAGAAGGAGGCGGTGAGCTCATCCTCGCTTGCCTCATCTCCCATCTTTCTTCCTGACTCGAGTCTCAGGACTTGAGTCCACCGACACCGCTCACTTTTCATCTTTTCCTTTCACAGCTCTATCACCGAACCTGTCTTTTAGTTTAACTCCTCTTTTCTTTCTCTTCTCGCTCCATCATCAGCCTACATGGAGCTCCATGTGTTTTCTATCTGGCTCTTTTATGTCCTTCACACACTCTCCCCCTCCCCCCCCCTCTCTGTTTCTGTAACTTACATCAGTAAAAGATGACTCGCACTTTAATCATATTCTGTCTGTGAGCTCCCTCATGGTAAAGCGCTGTTAGTCGGGCCAAAACGAGATGTTAAACTTTTTTTTTTTTTCTCTCTCTCTCTCTCTTTACTTTCCCTCCACCCCCCTCCCTTCTGCTGCTGGTTGAGGAAGTGTTAGTGGTTTCTGACGGTAGGACTGGGGGAGGCTGGAAGAGAATCAGTCATGAGTGAGAGAGGGATGTCAGGCGGTTGAGGACGCCGCTCTGGGTGCGCGACTCAGCGGTGTTTCCACACTGCCGGGATGTTGGTTCAGGTTCTCGTGGGCGACCTTGAGTAACTTCCCAGAGGTCGGACGCCGGTATGAGCTGGCGGATGGCGAGCACTTGTGTTGTGTTATTGGGTTTTCAATGCAACATGTGCTGC